GCTTCAGGGCAGATGGGCCCCTGCCTCGAAGCACCGAGGTGCTCCTCCCCAGGTGGGTAAAAGCTTGGCGTCCCTTAGAGGAGAGCCCGGGCTCTCCGAGCTAGGCGGGGGACTAACTCACCGAGGTATTAGCCCTCAGCGAGTTGACTGTCTTTGACTTGGCATTTCCTCCATGCCGAGTCGGGATCGTGCTGCTAGGCTGGACTGTTCACCAAGCCAGGTCATGCGCACGTGTCCTAGGTTCATGGGGTTGAGCCAAATCGTCCTCCATCAGTTTCCAAATAATAATATGATTACTTAATAATTTATACAAATATGTTTCATGATTTTTCTTGTAATTTTATTATACTTTACATAATGTAAAGGGTAAATTTGATAGACAGTACATAAGCTAATTTTAATTTAAAGAACAATTGCTTTATTAATATATAAACTGATTTACTAGTTAATGTGTTTTATTAAGGTTATATTTTCAAAGTGATGTTTCAAATTGTTATATTACGTGCAATTGCATATGCCAAATGTAATTGGGTGTCATCAAGCCACACCCGATTAGCCTGATTGATTAGAAATTGGATCAGTTTTGGATTTGATTTTACAGAACCAACAGGGTTTGATTTAGGACTGCATCTGCATAGTTATCTTTTTTGGTTCGTTCATACCAGGTCCACCTTATCCTGGACCAGACCTGACCTATTGACAGCTCTGTGATTGAGAAGGGTAATCTTTAAATCTACATGTAAAGACATTTGAGAAGTATAGTAAAGAATTCAAAATCTCTAAGCATCTTTTTATCACCGAAAAAAAAATATTTGCACATGTGCATATCACGTGCCCTTACACTAATCTTCAAAAAAAGAATTGAACCTTTTCCAGCATTAATATGCTAGATATTCTTAAAGCTAGAGCATAATGGAGTTACAGGCTACAGCCAAATCAAAATATCAATATCAACTGAGTGTTTGGTATCCAAGAAGGCCTTGCAATTTATCCTCTCTTGCATCATTCCTTCTCATTAAAGACGACATCCATGGAAAAAATTTTCCAAGCTCCTTGCTTATGGTACCAGAACTAAGCCTACTAGGGTTGATGCCAAATTTTGCTCTTTCTATAGAATCCATGATGTCTTCCCGAGTCACAGTCTCACCACCTATGATAACCAAAAAACCAAAGATCTCAAATAGCAGATTTTTATAAGATAAAAACTGCAATTGTAGTGACTCGATAAGTGTGACAATGAACTTGTTACAGTATGCAATATATTACAATAGTTATTGATTTGTATGTATATTCCTGGTTTACCAAATCCCACTAACTATGGTGATGCAACAAATGTGTCAATTGAGCTTATTACAATGTGCGACAAATATAGCTGCAGGCTCTTCTAATTGTTGATACATGAGCTAGATTGCTGCTTTACCAGATTACTAAATGAATATAAAGACATAATTCAAAATGTGAATAAATAACAAGTACTAGTAGGACTGTAGGAGAAGTTGCACTTTACTCCCCTTGTCCACCAAAAAGCACATCAATGTGCTAAGACGAAGGCAAGCAACTAGTGAGTCCCATTAAATAGCTTCATTAAGTTCCAATATATAATTTTGAATAATGAAATCTGTAGAAAATATTGGTTGCTGAAGAATCTTATTGAGTCTGACATTTGACAGCCTAGAAAACATGAAATCTAAGTTGTTAAATAAGGCATTACAGAAAGAAGAAGTAAAACAAGAAAGGAACTTTTAGACTGTGTTATTTGAACTTCTGAGGGAAACTCACAAAAAGAATACCTCCCATAAGCCTGTCTTACATCAATTGTACTATTCTACTTCCATGTAAATCTCAATATACAATACTGTTCAGGAACTTAATTTCAACTTACCTCTGCGAGCGGCAAGTAAAGCAGCCTCGTTAACAATGTTTGCCAGATCAGCACCTACAAAGCCTTGGGTGAGAGATGCCACCAGATTGGAAATGACATGTATGTCTTCCTCTAAAGGAACTCCCCTTAAATGTACAGCCAAAATCTTCTTTCTGCCTTCCTCATCTGGTTCTCCTACAAATACTTTTCTCGAGAAGCGACCAGGCCGACAGAGAGCTGGATCTAATGCTTCTGGTCTATTTGTTGCTGCAATAACAACCACCTTCATGTCTGACTCAAATCCATCCATTTCTGTAAGCAGCTGCAAAAATAAATAAGCTTTCCCAGTCAGATTTAGATCATGAAATTGTCAAAAGGGCCACTATAAGAGATACTAAAACTTGCCTGGTTTAGCGTTTGATCCCGCTCATCATTGAAACTTCTACCACGTTTTCCTCCCACAGCATCAAGCTCATCGATGAATATGATTGATGGTGCATATTTCCTTGCTACATTAAAAAGATCTCTAATGCGCGCTGCTCCTCTTCCAACAAATAATTCCACAAATTCACTTGCAGAAACAGTGAAAAATGGTACCCCTGCTTCTCCAGCAACTGCACGGGCTAGTAATGTTTTTCCTGTTCCTGGTGGTCCCACCAACATTACACCTCTAGGTAACTTTGCTCCTAATTTGTTGTAGTTGATAGCTCCTTGCAGGCACAAAACAATCTAGAGACCAGGAAAGAAGATTTAGAATTTTCAAAAGAAAACAGTAAGTTAGCCCACCCAAGAAGATAGTAGTTTACTTTATGTATCAGGTAACCAGACAAAACACAAAATAAAAAAATTCAGTCTGGGGCTCTTTCAATGGTACAATCCATCCTCATCTGTCATCTTCATTTGCATATATTTATCAGTAATGGCCCCCCAAAAAAATAAAGGACATCTAGAAACTACAAATAAAAGGAAAAGTTGAAGGTGCTCAAGCAGGAAAGTCATCCTCAGTAAGCAACTGGCAGTCTGGCATATATCACCAGTCATCTTAATTGTATGTTTAAGTAACTAGTTCTAGTTCTTGTTCCAAGGCAGAATAGGCTCATATGCTGAAAAGCACTGAGCATTGAGATTAGCATAGATCAGGCAAATAAGTAATGGAAGATTTAACTTTTGGCTGTAATTGGCTTAAATCTTCGGTATATTCAGCACAGTAAAGGCCAATATGTTAAGGAAGGAAGCAATGGTATGAGGTGCAAGCATTGAGGTAAAGGCAGAACAGACATAGCTGGAAAGTACCAAGATAAATAGCATTGATCAGGTGAGTACGCATTGGCAACCTCATAGTTTGGTTGTGGTTGGCTCAATAATTCAATATATTCAGCACTACTAAGGCCAATATTCAGCACGACACAAGGCTTTTTTTTTTAAAGATAAAATAAATTAAATTTTATTAAATCAAAAAAGCAATTACAAGGAAGGTGATAAGCAATCACCCGAGAGGAAGCAAAACCCAGAGAACCAAGCAAAGAAACCCCAATCCCCCAAAAAGAAAACCACCCCAAACATAGAATAATCCTTTCGACCCAGATAAAAGAAAAAACCACACTGCAACACAAAGGCAAAACCCAGACCCTACAAACCAATATCGACACCCACCGGAAACCCATCCCTACTGCCCACTCCCAACCAAAACTCCCACTCAAGAACTCTTCTTATCAGCTTTTTGAGAACAATCTTCTATTTGCCTTTTCTCTGATCTTTTGTGTTTTTTGACAAGCTTATTAGGCCCAATACCACATAAGCCTCCTTTTATCTGTGCAAAGACTTTTGAAACTGGAACTTTCTGCTGACTTTTTCTGTTCTTTTGAGCTCTGAATCTTCTAACAGTATTAAGTGTTTTCACGGCCTCTTCCAGACTCCCCTCCGGCTTTTGACCCCTATCTGAAACCAACATCCCCTCAGATAAATCTTCCTGCTTCTTGGAAGCATCCCCGCCATCTCCAACAATCACTTCCTTTTCAGAATTGTAGGAATTGCTTCACGCACTGGAATGACACTACTCTCTTTTTCCCCTTTTTCCTCCTCTACCAATCTGAATGCTTCCTTGGCGAACTCCTCCCCTCCTAAGAAAAACAGCCCCAGAATTTTGCTGACTTCCACTTCCTTGCCATCACGCAAGGAATTTCACTTGCTTGAAGAGTGAGGTGTAAGCCTAGAGCTGTAAAGCCTATAATGTTCATGAGCTCACCTTTTTTTCTTAAATAAAAAACCATATAAAATATAACAATTATTCTACAGGGACTGATTTTAGCACAACCAATTTTTTTATATTAGGCACATCCCCTGTGAAAAGAGAGAAATTAGAGATTCTTGTTTATTTTTTTGAGAAACAATGAACAAACCCTTGTTTTAATGACAAAAGTAATACCTAAAGGTGTTATTGCCTTTCTAATCGTGAACTTTTGGACTGAGGATGGTGTGTGCCCCCTTGATAAAGAATGGGATATGTCCATATCACTACCCTAATTTTATTGTGCACTGTTCCATGTTTTACCAAGGCAAACTAGTGTTAACTTACAATAATCCTAGTTAAACCTGAAGCTAAACCAAAAATAAGTATAATTTCAATGAATATGGCACTTGATGGAGTGGAATGGCCAAACAAGATTCATATAGCCCACCTCATATAGTTGATGGGCTTTCTCAAAAACAGTGTACTTGATGGGCTTTCTCAGTGAAGTATTTTTCCTAATGCCATATTCTGTGTTTATAAGGCGCATGTCCCTAATTTGAGTTTCAAAAAAAAAAAAAGAATTGCACCTCAATCCTGCTTCATGAGCATGCAGCCATGCATGCTTCTGACTTGAAGCTCAACTATGGTTTACTTTGTAAAGTTCCAGATTACTTGTTGATGCCCCCTTCCCTTTCAAAAACAGAAAGATGGGCATATCAATCTTTAAATAGACCTGAGATTGCATGGAACTAAGTCTAGGGTGTAATTGATCATCCATATTTTCCCACCTGTAGTAGACCTGTAGTAGTGATGGATGGTTAAAGTAACCGACCCAGCCTGGTTGCAGAGACAGTGATGACTGGATCCAAGATTAGGCATTGAGGCCCCACCTCCATTGAATCTAATGATAACGATGCTTTATTTGCCTGTTAGCATGTTTGACTACTTAGCATACCACAAAACAACTATTAGCCAATGCCAATTCTGGCTATGCAGGATCTTGGACAGGGGTGGAAGCAATGGCCTCTAACTGCTTAGCATACACTCCTATAATTCTAAAAGGAACATGAGATCCCAACTTCAAGTTTGGCAGGTTATGCTTCACTGGAAAAGAGAAGGCACAATGTAATGAAACTTGTCTCCCTCTTAGGAAAATGTCTTTATCACAACAGTCTCCCCAGAAAATCAAACAGCCCATTAACAAAATAATTATGAAAAAAAATACACACTAAGGTAGAAGGAATAAGATGCTCTAATGCTCTAATGCTCTAAACTCCCTGGCCTACCATGTCACTGAAGGCCCATGAAATGACATTGAAGGAATTCTCCGCCTTTCAAAATCACTTCAAACTTGAACACCTTGCTACAAGGTTTCAATTTCCACTTTATTGGAAAAGATATAAATATCTGGCTAAAAGAAACTTCATCAGTAGAAGATCAAGACTGCAATCAGTCTTGAATCCTAATAGGTTTTAGGTTTACAAAACAGAAGAAAAGTGAGAGAAAGGAGAAGGAATAGAAGAGAAACAGGAGAACACAAGGGRTTGAAAGGAGGGACAGATTCTAACAGATCTGCCGCCGCCACTCTCTTATTATTTATAGGTTATGTTCAGTACATAATGGAAAGGACACATCTGCCCTTAGTACTTA